TAAGCAATTTAAAATTTTAGACACAGCGTTGCTATATGACTAAAAATTTAGTCATTGACTAACAAGTTTTGTGAATAAATAGGTTAAAGGTTAAAGGTAAAACGATCCAAATTAATGAAGACTGAAAGAAAATCAATGGAAATAAAATAAAATGGGTAATAAAAAGATTTGGCGTGATAAAATTAGACATTACCCAATGACACACTAACCTATAAATGTGAACAAACTATAGTAATAGCTATTAATGGGCCAAATTATATATCAATAATTAAGGGTGTTACGCAGTAAAAATGTACTGTAGATTTATAAATTTCAACCTGTTAACCAAAAGATTTTGTAGTAAATATTACGTTAATTTTTAAGTTGTTTTTACACTTTTTTTAATCATGAAACGCAACAAACTTGTTTTATTTTCCACGAAAGAAAAAAAAATCTTGAAACATGGTATCGCCAGTTATAGTTATAGATATTAATGGGCGAAATATATATATATTAATAATTTAGGGTGTTTTTTAGTAAAAATATACAGTGGTTTATAGATTTATAAATTTCCACCTGTTCACCAAAATATTTTGTAATAAATATTACGTTAATTTTTAAGAAAAAAACTATTTTTATGTTGTTTTTGCACTTATTTTAATCACGAAACGCCAACTTGTTTTATTTTCCACTAAAGAAAAAAAAATTCTTGAAACTTGGTATCGCCAGCTACCATAACCACAGACAACTAAACAGCCGACGACGACGAGATTCCGCGTAGATCACGAGCCGACGGTTTCCGTCGGGGCCACCCGGCCATCGATCGCCTTTTGTTTCCGTCGGGCGACGCCCGCCGCCGCGGCGCCGCCACCGTCGATCGCTGCCGCCTTCCGCACATACGCGCACATGCTCGCGTGGTGCACGCGTCCGCAGCACGGTGACGTCATCGTCGCATGCATTTCGGGGTTTGAATCATTTATGTCGGCAGGTCTGGTCTATCGAATATATATATACAGGGTGTTATGTAATTAATGTTATATATTAAAATGGGTTGTTCCTTAGGGTCCATAAAGAGGCACCTGAAACTTTTTTTCTAAATTCCAAAGACTAAAAATAATTTATAATAACCTTTATCCTACCAAAAAGTACGCCACTGATCGACTAGGAACTTTAGGTTAACCTGGTGGATTTATTATGTTATGGTTGGTAACAACAGTCTTTCCAAAATCTCTCAAAAAAGTTGACAAACATTGTTTAAATTTAGCTTAATTACAAAAATGACAAAATTAACAATGCAAATTGTCAATTTGGCGTTTTTATTAATTGTTGGTCATGTCATTTTTGTACTAAAGGTAAATTCAAACAAAATCTGCCAACTTTTATGACAGAATCTAGTGCATTTCTTTTAAATTTTAGGTTATGTTTTCAAATTGTAAACATCTTAACTAAGGGAAGTGCTTTTGGATTTATTTACACAAATTAAATGTTTAAAGTTTAACCTGTGAACTGGTCCCAATTTCATCTGAGTAAACAGAGAAAAAAACTGATGAAAAAATTAATTTTGTGGTTACGGATTTCAAATTTCAAAGGTAATAAATTTTCTAATCATTGCTTAAGCTAATAGCTGGATCAGTAAATAAATACAGAAGGGTATTAGAGCTTTAAGGGCATAAAACTTTTGTATTTATTGAGTTTTTATTTATTTTTTGCAAGAAAAATTTTTAGTAACAATTTTTTACATCTGGCAACGCATAGCTACTTTGTTGGTTGGTATCTATGTACTCACAAAATACAGGTGTGCAGAGATAAACAAGTGTGTAACCAGTAGCGTATCACAAAAAATATAAAAAACTTCTAATGCATATTTTTTCTTTATCTTTGGAAAAATGTTTTTTTAAATATTTTTCCTTTATTTCTTATGTCAAAATGTATTCAGTATTTTAATATATAACATTAATTACATAACACCCTGTATATACTAAATTATGCTGTATCTTAATAACAATTTAGCTTAATAACAAGTTAGCGATTAAAAATACCATTGAAATTGCTAAATTAAAAAGATTTACATTTGCCGCTAAATTTATATAATTAAGTCAGCATTTCTTTGGAAATTAGGTTGTTGGGTTGGTGGCACTCAAACAAACGGAGAATTTTTTTGCGTAGGGACTAGGGTTATATAATAAAAGTGTCGAAAACAAAACGGAAAAATTGGGGGGAAAACTGTTTTTTCCGTTTTTTCTCAGAACTTGGAAAAATTGGCTTTTTTGTAGATTTTTTTTTTTTGAAAATATACACATTTGAAAAAAACTTAACATTCTTTTAATTAAAAAAAATATCCTTATAAAAAAAAAAAAAAAACTAAACATTGAATTAAATTGATTTAGGAAAATAAACATACGAGTATATGTACATATGTAGGTACGTTAAATATTGTCGTTTTTTTTGCTAAAACGAGTCCTTTGAAAATATCCATACCCAACGCCGTTTTAACATTTATTAATTTTTTTAACTTAAAATTTTATTGGTTTAAAATTCTCCTAACTAAAAATTTTAGGTTTACATTTATAAATTTAAAATATTTTTAACTATCATGTATTGAAAGACACAATTTACTAACTAACAGTTCTCTTTTGTATTAAACAATATTATTTCCAATCAATTTTTGCAAACATTATTATTGTTATTATTATTTTTTAATAAAAATGATTTCTTAAGTTTAATTTATTTGGGTGGAATTTTGTAAATCCTTTATAAAATTATTTAGATTAAATTAGTAAAGTTTAATTTTTTAGTATTTAAAAATAGTACCGAGACATTTATAAAAAACACATAAAACATTTTTTACCTAAATTTTTTTTAATGTCAAAACAATTGATAATCAAAACATATTTTAAATATAAAATGCAAAGGTAAGAGTTTAAGTTTAAAAAATTGGTTATTAAAAATTGTGGTTTTAATACTATTATTATTTATTAATTATTGGTTTAAATTTGTAAAGTCATTTAAATGATAGTCGATAAATTTTTAATACAAAAATTCTCTCATTACTTACATTTAAATATTAGTTTTAAATTTTAAAACTTTTATTTTTAACAAATTTAAATTGATACATTTTTAACACAAACGATAATTTTTAATTCACAAAGTGTAAACGCTGCTTTAGCTGAATGCATATGCTGCAGACTTAAAATAATAGTAATAATACTATTATTAGTATTATTTCTATGCTCTAAATTGACCACTCTAGAAAGCTAAAGCTACGTTTACACTTTGTAAATTAAAAATCATCGACATTTAAATGTAAAGTTATAAATTTTGTTTTAAAAATGTACCTATCAATTTTAAATTGTTAAAAATAAAGAGTTTTGGTTTGAATTTTTAAAGAGTCATTTAAATGATGGTCGATACATTTTTAATAAAAAAAATACCACTTTAAAATTTAAAACTTACATTTAAATGTAATGTGAGAATTTTAATCATTTAAATTAACAGTTTTTTATATTTAAAACAAATTTTGACTATCAATTGTTTTGAGTTAAAAAACATTTAACTTCGTAAATTTCTGTTAAAACATCATTAAAGTGCTAAACTTTAATATTCAAACTATTATCCAATAAATGCTAAAACGGAGCGCCATACCCGGTAGAATATTCTTACTGAATTAAAATAAAAGGAATAATTATAATTATAATATTATGATTGTATTCAGCGTCGAAAATTTACTTTTTCCTCGATATCAGTTAGTATCCGTAAACAATTGTAAATTTTTAGAAAAATTGACTTTTGCATTTTTTCGTATTACCCTTTGAATAAAATAAAAAAAATCTGTTTTTTTTCCTCCGGCTTAATTTTTTCTGAAATTTTAAAACCCTGGTGATGCAACGGAAGTGGTCATAACAGAACCAGGAGAGAAAACAGATGTCAAAAGTAAAAAAAATTGTCATTCTTTATTTTTTTGTTTTAATTTAATTCATATTAAAAGGATAAAAGATATGTGTATTTAATAAACAGTAATTTAAACTTAAAAATTGTATAAAATAATTAGCTTTAAAAATGCTGATTACATGGCTAGGTGCTGACAATTTAAGCACTAATTTTCGATTCTTAAGTTTATTGTTAGCATAAAAGAAAGCTATTTAGTGCCCTTTGAAATAAAATTCGATAAACGTATCAATTTACATTAATTAAGTTTTATCGGTTTTGCAACAACCAATTACGGAAAAAAATAGAAACCCTTCCCATGTTTACTTCCTCAACTTCGTGGTTTAGTGCGATAAATATCGATTTTCGTCCTCTTTGCAAACAATTTAATGGACCCATAAAATTAAAATCGATCCTTATTAAACTCGACTAAAACTCCTCGACAAACTACTTTATTATGTCGTTTACTCATAAAATCTCAATAAAAAAATCTTCCCTTTTATAACCTTCAATAAAATCAGTATACCAGTAGTATACATAGTAAGAACAATAAATGAATATTACGGCTTGGTTTGAATATATTCAACATATACAACAAAATTTATTCAACATAGGTATACAACAAAATTTTAATCTAAAATAAAAGAAAAATCAAATAGTATTTACACAAAAGTATACGACGATGTGACAAAAACTTGTTGACCGAAAAAATCTAAACTATCCTCTGTGCATGTCTAGGGTTGCTCAAGGCGATGCATCGCGATGTTGTCTAGTTGTGCCTGCGCTATTGCGGTCAATTAAGTAAAATTTTAATCTGGTGACTCATAAATTGTTTTTTAATTCCATTATAAGTTGGAAACTTTTTATATAACCCATGTTGTTAATTTTGCAATGCACAGAGCATAGTTAGGAGCTGTTAAAACAGCGCATTTTTAATTCTCACTTGTTAATTTTGCAATGCACAGAGCATAGTTAGGAGCTGTTAAAACAGCGCATTTTTAATTCTCACTTTTTTTAAATTTATTGTGAATTTAAATCAGCTGTAAATTTTGATGTTTTCCGTTAGCTTTGCCAGATTTTAAAATGTAGAAATTTACCTTTTTTCGCGAGTTCTGCATTTTTTCATGACAACAACACAATTAGTTTCTGACCCCATACAATCAACAATTTTGTTTAGATCCGCACTTTCGTTAGCTTTCAAGTAGTTTCTATCATAATAATAATTATTTAAAAGGTTTTTCTTTTCTTCCCTTTGCTTTAAAAAAGTTATTTCGGATTGGAGTTTCTCCAGGATTTTTTGAATGTTCTTAAGGGCATCGAAAATTTCGTCTTTTGCCGAGTATGTTGGTGAATGGTGATGTTGTTTGTATCTGTTATCATTATGGTAATTATTATTACTGTTTTGTTCAGGTCTGTTATTACCACAATAATAGTTATTAGGATTATGAATACTATTACTAGATGTATTTTTTAGTTTGTTATCATTAGTTTTGTTATCATTGGTTTTGTCATTATTATTATTATTATTATTAAATAATCCAAAAGGGTGATAAAAACTATCAGGCTTGTTTTTCTGCTTATTGTTATTATTATTGTCAGGTGATAATAACTGTTTTTCTTTTCTAAACCAATAACTTTTCTCCTGAAATTGTAAAGTGAGTTTATTAAAGCAAAAAAAGTCCGACTTACTCTACACGTAACATCACAATTACAATCCATTTAAGTAAGTGGATTTTTACATATTTAACAATTTAACAAGAATTTTACACAAAACATTTAGCACAATTTAACCACAAAAATTTGACATAACTAAGGATTAATTATAATCAAATGCCATCAATATACAGGGTGATTCGTTCATATTGCCAAAAAAATATTAAATAATAATAATATTTTGTTATGAAAGGCCTTATATCTCATTCTGTGGAGGTATAACAGAGATATGACACTGACTCAAAACTTTCTTGCAAATCGTGTTACCACCACTAACAGATTTAGCAAAAATTACTGTTTTAACGGACCCGTTAAGTTACATCAAGGCCCCGAATACCTATTTTTGATTGGATTCCTTGTATGAAGAAAAGAAAAAAATTATGTCAACCAGATTTCCGAAATAACTTATTTTCTAAAATACAGTGTTGCAAGAACTTACTTTTGTGTACACTTCGTGTCAAAAACTTACTTTTGTGTATTTTTTACACTTCTGAAGCAAGTATACAACTCGGCAAGTGTAGAAAGAGACTTCAGATATGAGCCAGGTGCGCAAATTTTAAAGAGAGAACGCATTCGGAAGAAAAGAGATCCATGATACGGCCGAGATCGGCCGCACAAAGGACTAAAATCCACAAAAAGCGGTTTTACGTGGTATTTGTAAAATTTTAAATTATTAAGTTATAAAATAGTTAGAACTAGGGATGCACCGGAATTCCGGCGGTACCACTAAATCCGGCCGATCCGGCCAGTTGGCCGGAACTACCGTTCCGGACGGATCGCTGCGGCCGGATCGCTTTCCGGCCGGAATTTTCGGAACTTTTTGGAAATGTTTAAGTTTTAAATTTTTAATATAATTTAAATTCAAATATATGCAAAAATAAAGAAAATTATTTTAAATGAATAATGAAATGACCTGCAGCCCTGTGCTTATGATTAGCAGGCGTCTGGGATTTCCCGACTTTCGCGTCTGTGATTCCCCGACTTTCGCGTCTGGGATGCCCCGACTTTCGACCAGATATATTTTATAATTGGTCAACAGTGAAGGGTGTGCGTGTTTCCTTGCCTATGATAGACCGGCGGCTGGGGTTCCTCGACTTCTTTTTAATTTTTTTATTATTGGCAGGTGACTGCTATTCTCCAATTGAATGAGTAGAATTGTTTTAATTTTGTTAACGCTAATTAAAAATTAATATTTAAATAAACAGTAATTTCTATCTAGGTAAAATTAATAGTAATAAACACTCTGCATACTGTAGTTAGTTTTAAAAAAAGTAAAAATAAATCAGCCTCAATATTTTCAATGTTTTACGTATAAAAATAGGCATGCAGATACATTTTAAATTTAGGTCCCGATCCGGCCGGAATTCCGGCGATCCGGTCCGGCCAGCGGCCGAAATTCCGGTTCGGCAAAATACCCGATCCGGTGCATCCCTAGTTAGAACACAGCATATGCTGTGGTTAGAGATAAAAAATAAAAAATAGTAAATTTTCGATTTACTTTGAATTTTTTAAATTTACTTATACAATTGGAATACATCAAATAGGTAAAATTTTCTACCTTAATATTGATGGGGTATTAATAAATATATTTATATTTAAGGTAAACAAGAAATGTTTTAAAGTTAAGGTATGTATTATGTATTAGGGTTAGGTACGTTTTTATTGATATAAATGTTAAGAAATGATGGCAAATTGATAATTATTTGTGAAGAACCTAGTAGTAATTACAATGGATTTTAAATCAAAATTAAAGTGCAAAAAGTTGTTTTATTTAATAAATAGTATTAATAGATAATATAATATACTTGATTTACTTTAATTTTAATCCACTGTGCGCAATGTTCTTTACGATACGATAACTTCAATGCAAATGAATATTTTAAGAGCTGGTCAATGCGCTTCGATGGGCGTAAACATTTGAAGTCTCAAGCTAGATTTGCCGAGTTGTACTCAGCTTGGGATAGCCTTTAGTTCTTTCAGCGATGCGCTTTTAATGTCATCTATGCTTGCAAAACGACGGCCCTTTAAGGTTCTCTTTATTTTTGGGAATAGGAAAGTCAGACAGAGGCATGTCTGGCGAATATAGAGGCTGGGGCATCACTACAGTATTGTTTTTGGCCACAAATGTTGTTCAAAATTTAACAATTTTAGAAAAAATTTTGCTGCCACGCGTTTCATACCCAAAACATTCAAAAAAATTTCATGGGATGAGCCAATCGATATACCAACATCATCAGCGACTTCTCTGATGGTTTATAACCATTTCTTCCACTTTTTCCATGTTTTTATCGTTTATTAATGTGCTTGTGCGTTCGGGGCGTTCGTCATCTTCAACGTCTTCACGGCCATCTTGGAAACTCTTATACCACTTGTAAACTCTTGTTTTACTTATAGCAGTCTCAATATAGGCCTTTGTTAACATTTCACAGAATTTATTTAATTTTTTAAGCAAAATAGGATACAAATTATTTGATCCATTTCTTTTAACGAACGAAAAATCGCCGTGCTCATAAAACACGTCTAACCTTAGCGGCTGCCACAGACAAAGTAAACAATGAAAACAGCTATCAGTTTTTATCATACTTCGGGGGCATGTATACCAACATACTAAAGAAAATTTTATGACAACCGGACCCTCCGAACCCACGAAATTTAACAATTCCCGTTATTTTCTGAACACACCTCGTATTATAGGTTATACAGTGACCAGTAAGTTTACATTTTCTTTGCTGATTTCAAGCTAAACGCAATAGATGGAACCACTTTTCCTATGTAATTTCAATGTATTTACAATATTGTACGGCGGTGTATAATAATTTGACTTATGAACTGCGTACAAATTTGAAGTCTTTCTATATAATATAAAAAAGTTTCATTTTTATTGTTTTATTTTGACTGACATTAAATATTTAATTTTGACATTTCGCTTCATGCCAATTGTGCCAACCTAGTAACATATATATAAACTATATATATATATATACTATATATACAGGGTGTTTCATAATATATGCGCAGGACTTCAGGATGTGATAGCTCATCCAAAAAGATGAAAAAAGTCGCTATTAACTTACCCTCTAAAATGCACAATTTTCGAGATACAGGGTGTTTAAATTTTAGAAAAAAAATCGTTTTTTTCGAATATCTCCGGAACCGCTTATCGTACAAAAAACAGCTTTAGTAAGCATTTCCTACTCAAAATAAGCTATGTTTTGTGACAGAAAAAAAATTTTTTTTACTCATAATTGGTGGAGATTTTGAAGGGGTAGCGGGTGTTTTTCTCCTCAACTTCTACGCCCCTGAAAAATGTACGGTTTTGAGAGGCCTATTCGAACCGCCAATGTTTTCTACACAAAAAAGGTACTCTTGGTCATAAGCTCTAAAGTTGACCGTTTTCGAGAAAAATCAACTTTTATGTTTAAAAACATGGTCAATTTAAAAAAAAAATATTTTTTTTTTACTAATTAAACAAAATTTATTTTAACGTTAGAACAAGTAACAAAACCAAACCATAATTGCAAAATAAAAAATGATTCAAAAGTTGTCTTTGCTAAATTCTCCAAACCGTAAAGGTAACGCATTTCGAACATTTCAGCATTTGTGTAAAAAATCATTTTTTTTTATTTTACAATTATCGTTTGGTTTTGTTACTTTTTCTAACGTTAAAATAAATTTTGTTTAATTAGTAATAAAATTTTTTTTTCAAAAAATTGAACATGTTTTTAAATATAAAAGTTGATTTTTCTCGAAACCGGTCAACTTTAGAGCTTATGACCAAGAGTACCTTTTTTGTGTAGAAAACATTGGCGGTTCGAATAGGCCTCTCAAAACCGTACATTTTTCAGGGGCGTAGAAGTTGAGGAGAAAAACACCCGCTACCCCTTCAAAATCTCCACCAATTATGAGTAAAAAATTTTTTTTTTCTGGCACAAAACATAGCTTATTTTGAGTAGAAAATGCTTACAAAAGCTGTTTTTTGTACGATAAGCGGTTCCGGAGATAATCGAAAAAAACGATTTTTTTTCTAAAATTTCAACACCCTGTATCTCGAAAATTGTGCATTTTAGAGGGTAAGTTAATAGCGACTTTTTTCATCTTTTTGAATGAGCTATCACATCCTGAAGTCCTGCGCATATATTATGAAACACCCTGTATATATATATATACTATATATATATATATATATACTATATATATGTATACTATACAACCTGTGAAAGGAAATAAATTAGGTTAAATCTAGATTACTGCCGGCAAAAATAAAGGTCAGTACAATGTTCACGGGCTAAAGTTAATTTAAAGTTAGTTGACAGTTGTCAAATGCCATACAATCGTTAAAATAAATTGCCCTTCTTGTAAAATAATACTAAATGCAATTTATTTTAACGATTGTATGACATTTGACAACTGCAACTTAAAACTAACTTCAGCCCGTGACTAAACACCTGTTGCTAACTTTAGCCCGTGACTAAAATGTCATAAAGCCACAATTTGTCAATGTGTATTTAAAAGGTAACTTAGTGTCATAGAAACATGTACAAGAATGGGCGTTTTAAAGGTGAAAGTAGAAAAAAAATATTTTTAATAGTTTTCTGAAAAATCAATATACATTGATGTATACAAACAAATTAAAAGCAATGGCGTGTCATATTTTCTATTAAAAATAACAGCTGAAATTGAATGTTTACGATACATAAAA